TCGATCAGTGCGGGGATATTTTATCTCTGAATGAATTTAAAGAAATTCAAAAACAACAAAGTGCATTGGAGAAGATGAGACTGCTTTTGCAAATAGTCATACGCAAGGGAGAGGATACCTGTCTGAGCTTCATAGACATTCTGAAGCAGCATCAAGCACGCTACCAAGGCCTGCAGCAGCTTTTCAACCCTCAGCCTCAAGGTCTGTAAGAGTCCTGCATGCAGCTCTGGCCTGTGCTCAAGCCTCAACTTGAATTTCAGTCAGAAGTCGCCGCAGTCAGAGTTTCATGCTCCTGCATTGTTCTATTCTTCCAGGCTCACCTGCTCCAACAGTGTTCGCTGATAACAACAGTGTTGTGATCAACAGGACAATAACTAATGGAGCCGTAAAATCTCTGTCCACTACCATTGAAACAGTGAGCGATTCGGGAAGTCATTCGTCTGGTAGGTACTGATTTCCTGAGTTTACCATGAAATCAAAAGACAAGTTGAAATATGCGTTGCTGTTCTCCAGTTAGGCCAGTAGCTGAGGTCATAACACTCCTTTACACTTGTTCTTTTCAACAGAGTTTTGATTAGATGAAGTGAATTTTTCCTCTTTTTCTTCATGTAGCAAATGTTCCACATGCAGATTTAACTGCACTGGGAGGCAGCGTGATATGTGCTGATGTTCTGTCTGGACTCACCGTTCATGATGGTATAGATCTCTCAGTGTCTGTGAAACCATCACAAGCATATGCAGGTAAAATTTTGTTGTCATATATTTGTAATAATATAAATATCTACACATGTGTCATCCTCTGCCGATGTCTCATTCGTATATCGTATGATTTCAAAACAAAAGATTGTTTGGACAGGTCAGTAAAACCGAACTTGTTTTCTTCTCAGGTGCCGTAGATAAAACGCTGCCTTCTCCTCAGGTACAGTAGCAGAAACCAACATATACACAATAAGTTGCTCATTTACACGATAGGTTGATTTTATGTCAAAGTCCAGAATACCTGTTCGATGTCAGGTGCAGCTGCAGCTGTTTAAAGTTGTGCTGAACAGTGGAATTAGCCATTAGAGAAACTAATTAATCTTCTCTAATTCAGGTGAATAGATTGCTCTTATTTAGCCTAACTTTACAGGAATAGTTTATACCTTCCAACAAATACGAATGCTTATTTGATTGTGCTCCAGACGCATAACAAAGCCAGGATTCCTGTTTCCTCCTGTTACCAGTCTTTATTATGAAATAAGCTAAGCTAACTGTCTCGTGAATCTGCTTTCATTTTTATTTTAAGCACAAAGCCATCTCTTTTGTTTGCACTATTTCTTATATTTATATGTACATTTTTTTCTGTCTCGTGTATGTGTATCTCTGTGTTTAATGCTGCTATCAACAACGTGAATTTCTCCACTGTGAGATAAGTAAAGGCATATCTTCTCTTCTCTTCTCTTATCTTTTGTAAGCATTATCGATCTTCTCATGTAACCCTCAGCAACAATGCATACTGTATAAGCGTATTTTCAAAATGACTGGACTGTTAGACTGTTAAACTGATCACTACTGGTGAAGTAGAGAACACTGATGGAAACAGAAGTCCCAGACAGCGGTTTTAGACACAATTGCAAGCTCAGAAATTTAAATTTTCACTTAACCTGCATGGATTTGACTTTGACTACAGCAGCAAAAAGTAAAACTACACAAAAACAAATGACCCATATGAAAGATTCAAACAAAAAACTAAAAAAACAAAACAGGGCTGATAAACAACTGTTGTCTTTTCCAGGGCCCTGCTATGAAAATGATTACTGAGCACAAGGTGGAACTCATCGACAGCCTGAGGGCGGATCTCTTCATTCTGCAGCATGTGCATGCCAAACGGATCATCACAGACAGACAATATCAACAGCTGAAGCATATCTCTCAGCCAGAAGAAACTGTTACCAACCTGATAGATGTTGTGATTGGTAAAGGTGAAGAGACCTGTGATAAATTTCTTCAGGTTCTTAAAGACCCTGAAGTTCTCAGGACATATCCAGGACTGAAAGAAATNAACAAAGCCAGGATTCCTGTTTCCTCCTGTTACCAGTCTTTATTATGAAATAAGCTAAGCTAACTGTCTCGTGAATCTGCTTTCATTTTTATTTTAAGCACAAAGCCATCTCTTTTGTTTGCACTATTTCTTATATTTACATGTACATTTTTCTGTCTCGTATATGTGTATCTCTGTGTTTAATGCTGCTATCAACAACGTGAATTTCTCCACTGTGAGATAAATAAAGGCATATCTTCTCTTCTCTTCTCTTTTCTTTTGTAAGCATTATCGATCTTCTCATGTAACCCTCAGCAAAAATGCATACTGTATAAGTGTATTTTCAAAATGACTGGACTGTTAGACTGTTAAACTGATCACCACTGGTGAAGCAGACAACACTGATGGAAACAGAAGTCCCAGACGGCAGTTTTAGCCACAATTGCAAGCTCAGAAATTTCAATTTTCACTTAACCTGCATGCCTTTGACTTTGACTACAGCAGCACAAAGTAAAATTACACAAAAATGAATGACCCATATGAAAGATTCAAACAAAAAACTAAAAAAAAACAAACAAAACAGGTCTGATAAACAACTGTTGTCTTTTCCAGGGCCCTGCTATGAAAATGATTACTGAGCACAAGGTGGAACTCATCGACAGCCTGAGGGCGGGTCTCTTCATTCTGCAGCATGCGCATGCCAAACGGATCATCACAGACAGACAATATCAACAGCTGAAGCATATCTCTCAGCCAGAAGAAACTGTTACCAACCTGATAGATGTTGTGATTGGTAAAGGTGAAGAGACCTGTGATAAATTTCTTCAGGTTCTTAAAGACCCTGAAGTTCTCAGGACATATCCAGGACTGAAAGAAATTCTAAACATTGAATCTTAGCACTGGAGGAGATCATTTAGAAAAGCTACTGAGTATAATGAGCGCAGGAGGTTTGTCTCTCCGTCTCTCTGCACCTGCTGCAATACTTTGTGTTTGTGAGTGACTTATTTTTTGCTCTTTATTTTGTTCTATGTTGCACTGAAGGAGCTGCTCTTAATCTCATTGTACATGTGTATAGTGACAATAAAGGCATTCTGTTCTGTTTTTGCTTTGTTGTGTCTTTGGTACAGAAGATGTTTTGTGTAACTCTTACAGCTCATCTGGTGATTAAAGTTTTCAAGTTTAAGCTTTTGCACCTCTCGCTTTCATAAAGATCCTTTTATCCACAGAAAAAACAGTGACGATCGACAATGCAGAACTTTTGACTTTTGCAATATTTTAGACAGAACACCGTCAGATTTAACTGTTTATTTCATAATGACATGCATTTGTGGTGTTTGGTTGCGACTCTGCTTGAATGATGCTCTTGAACAATCCCAGCAAAGCATGACACAGACAGTCACTGAGATCACCAACCACCAAACCTGCACTCCCAAAAGGAGGAGATGAGCAGAGTCACCTTGAAATGAAATAGACTTTAAAGAAATTAGCCGATGTGTAATGACCAGCGTGTCTTATTTCCTTTGAAGTTGTCCAAGAATGAACAACCTTCACATCTAGATGCAGGGGATCAGCAGCATCCTGAATGCACACAGATGCACATTTGGCAAGGCACTATTATAGTGACTTGATACAAAGGAGGGAACAGATCACGGTGTTGGCATGAGATGTGGAGGCCAGGAACTCAAGGCCTGGATAGGGCCTTCCCAGAGTCTGAGCTGAACAGAGGCTCATGTCCGCTCTCACTGGTTAACCATTCCATAGTTAATGTTGGTGATGTTTGTCATTATGGGCTGCACGGTGGAAGCTCGCCGGTTTGCATCCCAGTGAGGACACCCGGGATCTTTCTGCGTGGAGTTTGCATGTTCTCTCCGAGTTCTCCGGCTTCCTCCCACAGAAAAACAAGAAAACATGTTGAGGTTAATTGGTGATTCTAAATTGTCCGTAGGTGTGAATGTGAGTGTGCTTGGTTGTCTGTCTCTAAGTGTAGGCCTGTGATAGACTGGTGACCTGTCCAGGGTGTCCCCTGCCTTCGCCCTGAGTCAGCTGGGATAGACTCCAGCCCTCCAGCCCTCCAGCACTTGGAAAATGTAAGAGTTGTCCAAGATAACCAAGGACCAGAGGATCTTTGAAGCACACAGCAGGTAAATAGCTTCTTCTATGCATCAGCCAGGGACAGTTTAAATTATAAAGTACTAATGTTCACCAATATAGCCAACATAGTAGCCCATGCCAGGTAGAGCGACAGCAACACAGCTTCATAATTTAGAAGAATTAAATAAGACCACTTGAAATTTTAACTCGCATGCTCTCAAATTTTGTCCCAGTCTGGAGCCCTGGGTGGGACTGTTGGTGCATTGAGCCTCTTGGTCATGAGGAGCTAAAAGCCGAAGGTCAACTTTACTGAGCCAGACTAATTCTAGTTTTATCTATAAGCTTCGAAAGCGACCTTAAAGACAGTCGTTGAAATATTTTTTAGCCTGCTCTTGAGAAGAACTGATCTTTCAACACAACCATTCAGACTTTTCCTCCACAGCCTGATTCAGATGAACTAAACAGAGTTTAACTAGATTGATGTAATTACCTGCCAGTATGTGTCCACAGAGGTGAGGCTTGAGGAGAAGGGCAACACCAGCAGGGGGCGCTGGAGCTGCACGGTGGCTCTGCCATGACGTCACACTAGTGGGCGGAGCTAGCAGATTTGAACCCAGAAGTTGTGCGGCAGGTAACAGATGCTGAGGAAACCTGGATTTTGGGGCTTAGATTAGAGGTCATGGTGTTTAGAGGAGAGTTTGGTGGACGCCTGGAGGAGATGTGACGAGGGGATGCTGGGTGTGAGGACTCCGGAGCTGGAGTGGGATTAATGGTGGTTAAATATTCCCGCAAATACTGGAGCCGGTGGACTGAAGCAGTTCGAAAGTTCATGATGACAACAGAGCTTAGAGGTTGGATTTGACTACTAAAAGCTCTTACTGGATTTTTTCAATATTGTCTGAGGTGGATTTTCCAGATTCTGGTCACGTGATCGTTCACTTCTGGCCCGCTTTGGTTTGAACGCTGCAGCTATACTGTAAAGACTCATCGAACCACCTGGACACGATCAGAGTCAGAAAGTAAGAGCAAATCTCCAAACACTGAGTTTTATAGCCTGCATGAGAAGATCTGTGAACAGCAGCGATGAGGTGGATCTGAGGAGGCTGCTGGAGCAGAATGAATGAATGAAGGCTGCCTCGCTTATAAAGCAGCTCAGTGGGTGGGCTGGACTTAAAGTAGGGAACGATTGGACAGAAAAGGGTCTTGTGACTCCCGTGCCTGTCTGAAAAAGCTCCATGACTTGAGCGGATGATAGTCATGAAATAGCTTGTTAAGCAGTTCTGATCACTTTTATTGTTTAACTAATACTTTGTGTGTCCTCTGTCCTACAATCATATTTAGAGGACAACCTTTTTTTCTGAGCTCCATGTATTACACTGAGACACAGCAGGAAAACTGGAGAGATTTTGGTGGTTTAAAGAAGGTTGTTGCTTTGAGGATGATTGTTTTTTCTTGTTTAGAGTTTTATCATCCTTAAATAACACTTGACTGAGTAATCTACAACTGGACCAAAGTTTTTGCTCATTTCTGTCATTACTGCCAGAGCCAGCTTGACCTTTTTTTATATTCTCTATTCGACTCCAGATTTCTAAAATAAATAGACTTGCGTTGAGGATGACACACGGGTTCTCATGTGGGTTCTCACCAGGTGTTCCTGTCCAATCCCACAGTCCAAAGACACGCTGAGGTCAAAAGATGAATCTAACTTGTCTGTAGGTGTGAATGTGAGTGTGCTTGTTTGATCTGTCCATGGTCAGTCATTTTGTCAGTTAGTAAGGAACGAGTGGATGGATGGACTTGTGTTGAAATATAGAGATACAGGCGTCCTCAAATTTATTCAGTCCCTCCCATTAAAGAATTATTTCAGCTGTTACTGAAATAAGTTGAATTTGACAAAAGTAATAATAAATAAAAAATGTATGAAAATCATGACATTGCTTTTGAATTGAACACATTAAAAAAACAGACGAGCAAACAAGCATGATGGGACCCGAAAACTAATGTTTTGTTGAGCAACCCTTTGAGCCAATCACTGCAATCAAGTGTTTTCTGTAACTCTCAATCAGACTTCTGCTCCTGTTGACAGCTATTTTGGTTTTGACCCACTGCTCATCAGCAAAGTGCTCGAATTTGTCCTGGACCGTTTTGTTTTCTGTTTTTTTAATTATTCTTTCCATCCACAATTCCAAAGTAATGTCTTATTTCACTAAATTATAATTTAGCAAATTTTTATTTATTATAACTTTTTTTAGTTTCTAGTTATTTGAGTGACTATTGTGACTTCTGCCTTTTCTTTAATGGAAGGGGACGAATACATTTGAGGACGACTGTTAATCTTTCTCAACAGTTCAGCTGGGTTAAGATCAGGGGACTGCAAAGGCCAAAGCATATGAGTCACAT